TTAGTTATGATTTATATTTGAACATTTTAAAAAGGTGCTGATTGTGGTGATATGACTTCCGTTGTATTAGGTTTCTCATATGTTTCTGGGTTTCTTTTGCAATTAGCCGAGTCATGGCGAATGCATACGCTTGCCCTCCATGATGTAGAACTCTGGTTCACCTTGCTGGCGAATTATCCAACTTTTCTTATCTCCTCCTGTGATAGTTTTTGCTTGGTGTGAACTTTTGTCCTGTTATCCGTCAGGAACTTGGTGGAGTTAGCATAGCTATGGAAAGACAGAAGGCGACTCTGCAAGAGCTCATGACTGCTGCGAAAGATATGCTGAGAAACACAGAAGTTGCCATTCGATCTTTTATGATGCTACGGCCCAGGTTTCTACACCAAAGTAAAGGTTCTTTGGTTGGTCCCACTGCCCCGTCCCAACCTCAAGGAGCAATTACCACACAGACATCAGGTGGTCAAGCTGCCGCAAATGCTATGGTGCCGGTGTACGAGTTTTACAGTGGGCTTCCCAAGAAACCGTCACCCTTTTTGCAACAAACTGTTGCCAGATTCGAGAAGTATTTGACCGAGTGTCATCAGTGGATTGAAGAATTGGAGCAGTTGCTACTCTTAGATTCTGAAAGAAACTCTTCAAACACAAGCTCTTCACTGTTCCAATCGTTGCCTAAAGTCTTGACAAATGTGCATGACTTCTTTGTGCATGTGGCAGCAAAGGTACTATTATATACTGCGTAACTCTTTTGCCTTTTTTAGCATTATTTGATTTTATAAACGGTTATGTTTGTATTATAGCGATATTTGCTTTCTGATTATGGCTGCTAAAAGAATGAATTCATAATTGAATTAAAAAGAAGTACATGTTCTATGTTGTGGCAGGAGATTGACTGTGATTAAGGAACTTTTTTCTTTTATATATTTATATAGTTTCTTTGTTGTCCTACTTTAATTTGTTTGAACACCCTATAATTGAAATGAATCTATAGTTGAATTCCCTGGGATATATAGGTTCACTCATATTTTTCTCCGAGAAAAAATCTGATCGTGAGACAGAAAAAACAGCTTCGTGCCTGTCAAAGTTGAGATGTATCTACCCAACGTTTTTTTAAGAAAAAAATAAAAAAAATAAAAATTTCAGAACTGCTCCATTCCTGATTTTCTTTTCTTTTTCTTTTTATTGTTTCTCCGATGATATTTCTCTAGTGAACTTAACTCGTTCTCTTCAATAAATTGCAAGGGCCGATTATCGAAGATCATTTATACTTTGTCTCTATGATTGTATAATTTTTTCTAGATTAAACCAAAAGAAGAAAGAAGAACCCAAAATAGCTTTTATATATTTCTTTGTTACGTCATTTTATTTTATAGAAAATGTCGCTAAAGACTTCATTTTTTTCTCTAATATGCATATATTTCTTTGTTACGTCATTTTATTTTATAGAAATTGTCGCTAAAGACTTCATTTTTTTTCTCTAATAATATGCAAAGGTGGAAAGTATCCATCAATACATTGAATCCATGCGGACGGCCTACCTCGCTGACCAACGCCGCCGGGGGGATGAAAATGACCCGTTTCTCGAGGCTGACCGCCGTGAGATGGCCAAACAGGAGGCCGCGGCCCGTAGGGCTCACCCAACTCAGCATTTGCCTTCGGCTCCTCAACAGCCACCCAATCAGAGTAATGGACCCTTAGCCATCACGGCCCCACCTGGACCATCAACGGCATCAAATACGTTGGCTGCCCAATCGGCTCCAAGTGCGAGTGGGCCGTCGCTGTTTTCAACACCTGCTGTTGCCCAATTGGCTCCGAGTGCGAGTGGGCCATCGCTGTTTTCAACACCTGCTGTGGCCCAATCGGCTCCTCTGTTCTCCACCCCTACATCAGCATCTGCTCCTTTCTCATCTTTGCTGGGGACTCCCCAGCCGTCGCCTTTTAGCTCCTTGTCTGCTGCTTCGGCTACGGGGTTTGGCGGATCCACTCCCTTGTTTGGTTCGACCCCTGCTTCTGGAGTCTCGACTTTTTCTACTCCTTTCGCTACAGGTTA